GGAAGTCCAGACAGGAACTCAAGGTAGAAACTTGAACAACTTGAACTTGAACCCAAGGAGGATGCTGTCTGCTTACTTGCTCACAGGCTTATGATTTGCTAACTTTATTGTACAGTCTAGGACCACCTGCCTAGGGGTGGTGCTGCCCATGGTGGTCTGGGCCCTCGCACATCAATCAAGACAGTCCCCTCCCCACAGACATGCCCAAAGACCAACCGGGCCCTGGCAATTTCTCCATCTGGGCTCTCTTGTCAGATGACTCTCAGCTGGGTCAAGCTGACAATGCTAACGTAGATAAAAATACACTGTCCAGCTGCATGCACACATCTTTTCCTATAGACTGATGAGCCCGGGGCACACATGCTCACAGCTGTACTTCTCTTTGATGTTACGTGTCTATTTCCAAAATGGGACATGCATCCATCCACGCGTGCACGTGTGTTAATCTACATAGCCCCACAATCCCTCAGTAAATGTTGCAGCACGCACAGGCAGCCTCATAGGCACATGTGTATGGGATAGCTGGCTGCTTGCTGCTGGGTTCTGCTCTAGATCAGTGGTCCTCAACCTTCCTAATGATGCGACCCTTTAATACACTTCCTCGTGTTGTGGTGACACACCCCCCAACCCTAAAATTATTTTGTTGCTGCTTCATAACTGTAATTTTGCCACTGTTGCGAATCATAACGTAAATATCTGATATGCGACCCCCAAGGGGGCCATGACTCACAGGTTGAGAACCACTGGTTTAGATACTTCTCTTGTAGACAGAGAGCTGCTGTAGAAGGGGTCTTTCTCCACCTCCCTTCCCCCGCCGCCATTCTTACTCCTGCCTTCTGAGACGGCTCTGAGGTTAGATGAGGGCTAAGGTGGTCGTTTTCCTCCTCTTGGTGGGATGAGGAGAGACCACTATGGTTTTTCTACACCCCCCACTCTGTTATTCTGGTGAATAAAATCAGGTTCCCTGAGAAGGAGGGAGAAAAGAAGGGCAGGCAGGAAGGGAGGGAATGAAGACTCAGACTGGGCTCTCCAGTTGCTTCTATAGTACTGTCCTGCTGTTCTGGGGAACATTGCAATGGAGCCTGGGAAGGTTCTGACATGGTGACTTCACTTACATTGCCACAACCCCTTGGCACCCAGGCAGCTCTCTGTATGGCTGGAGAGGTGGAACCCTCGGGATTTGTGGTCAAAAGCAATCCTCCCTCTACCCTCCCATTCCCTGTCAGTCAGCGAGCTCCCTCTCAGCTCTGATGCCCTTACTGAAATGAGGCAAGCAATCGGAATGATCCCAAGCACTTAGGAGAACATGAGCTTGGAGGTGAGAGGGGTCTGAGTTCAAAGTCTACTTAGGCTATTTACTAGCTGTGTGTCTTTAGATAAATACCCTAAGGTTTCTGGTCCTCAGATTCTGCACATATTACTGGGAGTGATCTTGCCTCCCCTGGGGTGGGGGTTGCTGGGAGTCTAAATAAGATAAAGGAAGGAGAATGCTCTACTCACTATTTGGCAACAGCAGCAACTGGAGGGTTCTCAAGAACAAGCTGCTGCTCTTGCCGTCAATACGACCCCAGGCTAGCTCTGCAAACACCTCCTAAAAGGCTTGGAAGGACACGTGCATGGGGAAGTTTATTTGTAAGGACCTAAGGCAACAGTTCTCAACTTGTGGGTCATGACCTTTTTGAAGGGTCAAATGACCCTTTCACACAGGGGGTGCCTAAGACCATAGGAAAGCACAGATATTTACATCATAATTCACGACGTAGCAAAATTACAGATAACGAAACAGCCGCGAAAATGATTTTATGGTTGGCAGTCACCACAACATGAGAAACTGTATCCAAGGGTCGAAGCATTAAGAAGGCCGAGAACCGATGGTCTAAGAGATGAAGAAAGTCTGGGGAGAGGAAACTTTGGCAGAGAAATCACCTGGGCTCCCAGAACACTGTTTTGTGCTGTGTGTGACCTTGCATAAGTAGCCTTGAACTCACAGAGATGCACCTGCCTCTGTTTCCCAAGCACTGGGACCTAAAGGTGTGCGCCAATGTCTACGGGTTTACTCTAGGTCTGAAATTTTAGATTTCTTTCTAAGTCATATGCAAAGTAAATTAAGCAAATGTAGAAAATTAGGAAGGTGATGAAAAACTACCATAGTGTTCTGGAGTGAGCAGACTGGAAGGGGCTGACTCTACTCTGCTTGACAGACAGGACCTGTGCCCTGTGCGTCATCCCAAGGGAATTGCGTTGGCCACTCACTTCATTCTTCTCTGAACACTGAGATTTCCTTGGGGTCCTTCTCTGGGTTGTCCCCAGAGTCATTACCTCCTGTTTTCCCCTTAGGTGCCCTGTGCTTAGAGTGCTGTGGTTGGATTTTGCATTCCTCTATGTCTGCATGTATGTATGTATGTATGTATGTATGTATGTATACATGTATATGTGTGTTTGTGATCATGTTCTTTCCTTTCTTACAGAGCTGTCTCATTTCCATAAGCAGATTTTCCAGCCCCTAATTTGTTTAATCAATCAAGCAATCAATCAATCAATTAATATGCACATGTGGAGGCTGTAGGTTAAGCGCAGGTGTTGTTCCCCAGGTGTAAGCTACATCTTAAAAAAATAGGCAAATTAGGCTCTGACTGGGCTCAGCTGGCTGCCAGAGAGCTCCAGGGACTTGCTCTTCTCCACACTGAGATTACAAATGTATTTTAACATGCCCAGATTTTAAAGTGGACTCTGGGGACCCGTTTCAGGCCCTCATGCCATGTGGCAAACACTCTTACCAACTGAGCAGGGTTCTCCCTAGCTCAGTAGTCTTCTGAATGTAAGCCACACCTTCCTGAGCCTATCAAGACAAGATTTTTTGAAAACAACAGCAACACCCCCCCCCCCCAAAAAAAAAAAAAAAAAAAGCAAACAAACCAAAACCAAAATTCAAATGGATTTTGGTCCCTTTGCCTCAGGAAGAGTTCAGGGATTTTACAAATCTACCACGGGAGGGACAGACCCAGTGTTTGTAAATGTTGAGGACCAAGCAACAGCTGGTCAGATGAACAGTGCATCTGCTTTGGCTTATTTATTTAAGAGAATGATTGAGTTTCTGCAGCTGCATGGCTGTGTTGGCTGCTGAGGTTGGTCACTTCAGGAAACCAGACAGGACGGCCATGAACTTCCAGTACAGTCTAGGGAAGAGCAAGCGAACAGGCTGGTGCAGCCATAACTGTGACTGTGGGAACTGTGCTGGAGTAGAGACCTGACACTTCAATGTGGCCAAGGATGACCTTGAACTTAGGATCCTCCCGCCTGCATCCCCTGAGTGCTGGCATTAGAGGCATGAACTAGCACACAGTTTATGAGGCACTGGGGACCAAATCCAGGGCATCCTGCACGCTAGGGAGGCACTGTGCCAATTACATCATATCTCCAGCACCACATACCGAGTTTTCTGCTCCCACAGACAGTCATGGTGTGACTGTAGAAAACAGACAGTATTTCCTCCTATCATTTCTGAGCGTGCATATTTCAAATTGGTATCTTTGTGTTGCACTCTGTCGGACTGTTTGATTTTGCAAATTGCTGTTTAGACTGCTGACTTGAGTTTCATAAAAAAAAATAATTGAATGTGTTTTGGTTTGGGATTAGGGCAGAATGTTCAACAGTTTCTGAAACTGTCTCAACTACACATCTGCTATTTTTGACTGTATTGATGTAATGTATATTGGAGGCTCTTGGCGCTGATGATTCTGAATGAAAATATTGACCAACTCTGGAATATTCGGACAATGCTCTGTGTCCTACAGTGTCAAGTATCTGGTCAGGATTAAGTTCTTGGGGTTGGGGAATAGCGATTTCTTTGCAAGCATGAGGACCAAAGCTGGAACTCCTCAGCATTTACATTAAAAACAAAAAAACAAAAAAACACTGTGAAAGGCTGGTGTGATATACACCTTTAATCCCAACACTCGAAGGCAGAAGCAGTCAGATCTCTTTGAGTTCAAGGCCAGCCTAGACTACATAGGAAGGCCCAACAAAAGAAGTTCCAGGCCAGCCAGAGAGGCTCAAAAGACCCTGTTTTTTTAATTTATTTTATTTAATTTTAATTTTTTTAAGCTGAGCAAGGCTACAAACATTTGAACCCTAGCATTGGTCAGGCAGAGACATGAAGATGTCAGGAGTTTGCTGGCCAGGCAGCCTAACCCCAAATGGCAAGCTAGAGACCCTATCTCAAGGCAATAAATCAGAGAGGGATGAGAGAGATATTCTTAATGTGCTCGTCTGCTTTCATGATGGTGCTCACTCACACATGCACAGGCGCGCACACACACACACACACACACACACACACACACACACACACACACACATACACATGCACATAGGCACACACACACCACAACATTTTTTAAAACATGGATTCTGGGATTAATTAACCTCAGCTCTTCATGCTTGAGTGGGAAATGCTTTACTGACTGATCCACCTTCCTAATCTTGTTTAATTTTTAAATCTTTTTTATGACTTTGTTTTTGCTTTTGTTTCGAGACAAGGTCTGGATAGCCTGGAGCTCGATACGTAGACCAGGCTAGCCTCATACTCACAGAGATCCTCCTGCCTCTGCTCTCTGAGCCTAGGATTAAAGGCATGTACCACCACATACAGCCTCAACTGTGACGTTTTCATACACACAGATATAGTGGACTTTAATCATAATATCCCTTAGCACACTATAATTTTGTTATTGTAATTCTATAGGTTTGTCCTGTGATCACCTTGGTGGCAGCTTAGCCCTCTTCGGAGTTAAACCTTTATCCAAAGCATTGAGATAAAGACAGAAAAAAACAAAACAAAGCAAAGCAAAACGAAACAAAAACAGTGAGAGCCTCCAGGAGTCATAGCAAACACACCCGATTCTGTGCCTCCTTGTGGGGAAACGCAGCGTGGAGGGCAAACATTCTCAGGGCAGAGACACTACTGCAGAAACAGAGGTTTCTGCAAGGTCCGTACTCACCATGGTTGTCTCAGCGATGGATCCGAAGCTGTTGATGAAGATGTTGCAACTCACGTTCACAGGAGGACCTGCCAATCAAGAGAGAGTCCCCACTGAGTCTCAGGCTGTAGAGAAACTAACTTCAAGGACAGAGCTCCCCAGGAGAGCCAAGGAGCCCCCTGCTTGTTATCCACCCACCCCTCAGTGCCTGGGATCCTCAGCTTGCATTTAGCATCTCTGCCAGCCTAGACTCCCCAGCTCCCAGGTAAGGGGCAGGTTCACCTTACAGGAGGCCGAACCAAGCCGTACCTTCATTAACACGGGGTGATTCATCATCCTGCCATCTGGCTGAAATCCCTTCCCCAAGCCCCAACTGTGCCTTCTAATTTATGTCTGAGATATATTTATGGCTACAACATTTGGAGGCCATCTTGGGAATTGCAGGGAACAGCAAGTTCTTTGCCTTGAACTTATGAACTGAAAATGAAGGGGTGATGATGGGAATTACCAGGATTTGGTGGGGGAGAGCCTGATGGACAGTTCACCAGCCTTTGTTAAATACTGTGTGGACAAGTTTGTTTGTTTGTTTTTAATTGTTAATTTTTTTTTTTTTTTTTTTTTTAGCTCTGCTACGTCCTAGAAAGAAGGGAAGGAATGCCACTGCCTTGGCACTTGTTTCTGAAGGGGATTCCGCTTGGCTGAAACTGGGACCCTTCATTTCATACTGTGAGTGGCAGTGGTTACCAACCTCTGAGCTGCTTCAGGGAGACCATGACCGGCATGATCTCATCATATCCTCCCAACATCCCTGTGAGAAGGCTGGTTGTTACCCGAATTGTGCAGGGCAGGAAACTGAGGGTCAGAGATGCCAAGTTATTCCTCTGTGGCCTCACTGCTAGAGAATGGTGGAGCCAGGGTTCCAGCTCAAATTTGTCTGATTCTTAATGGCTGTACCATAGGAAACAGCTTGAGAGGGAGGCAGAAGCAGGGTTGTACAATCAGGGGAAGAATCACTGTGGTGTGTGTGTGTGTGTGTGTGTGTGTGTGTGTGTGTGTGTGCACATGTGCCTCTGCCTGCTTTGTCTTGTTCCTTGGGTCCCACCCATCTTGTTTTTTGAGACAGGGTTCCTCACTGTATTAGTCCCTTTTCTGTTGCTTTGATGACATACCATGATCAAAAGCAACTTTTGGGTGAAAGGCCTTATTTTAGGCTTATGATTAGAGATGGATAAGAGTCGGTCATGGTAGAGGGACATGGCATCAGGGGGCAAATATGGCAGGAGCAGGAAGACAAGAGATCACATCTTTAACCTCAAGCATGAAGCAGAGAGAGAGAGAGAGACAGAGACATGAACAGACAGACAGACACACACAGAACTGGAAGTAGGGCGGGGCCATACACTCTCAAAGACAGCCCCCAGTAAATACTTCCTCCAACAAGGCTCAACTTCCTACAGCTCCTGAAACAGCTCCATCAACTACATCAAACTTATTGGGCACATTTCTCATTCAAACCACCATGCTAGGCTAGGCTAGCCGGGCAGAAAGCTCCAAGGATCACCTGTCTGTACCTCCTAACACTAGAATTATATGATTTTTTTTTTTAACTTGGGTGCTTGGGATTGAACTCAGGGCCTTATACTTGTAAGGCTGGTACTTTACCAATTGAGCTATCTGCCCAGCTTTCCCCACCCCATTTATGAGACTGGTCTTGTCCTGTAGCCCAGGTCAATATGGAACTCACTATAGTGATCCTCTGCCTTCTGAGGCTGGGATTTTCAGGAGTGTGCCATCCTGTCTGGAAGAATCTAGAAGACAACACTGAGTTTTCATAGAAGCAAGCATGAAACAGCTAGAGAGGGGCGTAAGACCATGATCAAGAAGGGTCAAAGGAGCAGAAGCCAGATGAGAAAGGGTCTGAAGACTAAGACCGGAGGACTTCAGAGAGGAGCTGACCTTGATCTGACCTTGAAGGTGCTTAGGACTTGGATGGCCTTCAGGGCCCATCTCTTGTTGACCCCAAGAGTTGCTTAGCCAGGAAGAATATAATCGTCACCACTTCTCAAAGGAGCACAGGGGCTTTTAGTCACTCATCTGGACTCATGAGGTAGAAGGCAGTAGAGCCAGGACTGGAAAGAAGAGGGCGGATAGCTTTATGTCCTCTGGTACCTAATCCATGTCCATCTTCAGAAGATAGCCCACAGCTTTTGCACACAAATTTAGCTAGATTCCCTTTCTCTTGGAATGCTTAATGGATAGGAGGAATCCAGGTTTCCCTTCGAGGCAGTGAGTGTCTAACTCTGGGGTACACATACAATCCCAGCCTCACCTACTAATGGGGCGCAGGGCAGCCTATTCCATTTTCTGAATCTCAATTCCCAAAGCAGTTTGGAGGGAAGGCTGGATATTAATTATTATGTCATCATCATAATGTCATCATCATCATCATCATCATCATCATCATCATCATCATCATCATCCTTTTTTGGAAGCAAATTTATTCAAGGCTGGTCTAGAGGAATATTAAGAAAATCTCCATCTCAAATATCTATTTTCAAGGCCTCAGGGAGCGACAAGACCTTTTATGGACACAAGAGGTTCCAGTAAGACAGAGGGTGGGAAATCCCAGGGAAGGTATTTCTCATTAGAAGGTCCCTCCTCCTCCTTTTATTTCTTCTCCTCCTTTCCTTGGTCACCCAGTACTGAGGATGGACCTAGCCCATGCTAGGCAAGACTTCTATCATTGTACTCCCTACTCCCCAACTTTCCTTTTCAGATGAACCAATTTGTAAGGAGAAGGAAAGGGTCTGTGTGTTTGTGGCCTCCAGAGAATATCACGTGTTAGGGATGAACAGTGACAGGATAAGGGAAGGGTGGTAAAAGGAAAGAAATGGTTAGGGCACCATCTGAGTGGAGGCAGAAGCTGGCGAGAGAACCGTCTTAGCTCTGATGTTTGGTATCCTATCAGGGAAGCTAGCCTAGCCTAGAATATGGGCTAGTAGGACTGGGGTCCTTTCCATCACCTCACTGAATGCTTTCCAGACTTGTGTGGCTGAGGCCATCTGAAGAACGTCTATCGTAGACCCAGTGAGGTGTGGTGGTTCATGCCCATGTAATCTTTAGTGCCCAAGAGGCTGATACGGAAAGGCCAGAAGTCTGAGGTCAGCATGGGCTCCAGAATGAGACTGCTGCTGTCTCAAAAAGCCAAAACTAAAACCAAACCAAAACAGAGAAAAAAAAATTTGTAGAGGCCCCGGCTCAGCCCTTAGCGGTGAATCGTACTTAGCACAAGGTCTGTTGTTAAACAAGCCACCTGGGTGATCCGAACGCACAGCTAGTTTTGGGGGTTGCTGGGAAGGATCACACCCCCTCGTTGGGACTCAGCATCTTCATCACTGGGTAAATGCTGCCTATTGTTTGTCCGTGCTGGCTGACAATTGCTGCTTTGGGAGGGTTCCCCAAGCAGAGGCTTACGTCCCTCACTCATTCAGCCCCAGATCCGTTTTTTTTTTTCTTTAGCCTCCTATCTTTTAAATGCCCCAAAGAGTCACCGCTCATGCCTTGAGGTGATGCGCACAGGGCTGCGTGCACTCGGCACTGTGACTCCCATGTAAATGAGATGCTGATGTATGAGTTTGAGAGGGCACCAGCCACGAAGACCCCGTGGGGAGGTGAGGTTCACAGACAGAAAGCCGAAATTAAATTATCTTGAGAAAATTACAATCTGGTTGCCGTTGGTTGCGGGGTAATGTATATATTTCATTAAATATTAAAGTTTAATTTTGCTTTTGTGTATGTGTTTGCATTGGGCTATGCCCCTGATCCTGGAAGCCACTGCAACACACAAAGCCTTGGCCGAGGCAAGTCCTCAGAGCTGGGAGGGGCTGGTCCTTCTCCTTGCCTCTCTCTTTGGATGCTGAGACAGAGGCTCAAGCCCAGGAAGGGATCTCTCAGGGGTGGGGTGGGTGGAGGTATAGGCTAGATAAGCAGTTTTAGTGCTGTTTACTTCCACATCACAGTGTGAACTGACTGGGCTCTGCAGACCAAGGTGCTTGTAGCTCTTGGCCACCTCAGACTTCAGGATGGCCAGAAGCGGGTTGCTCCTGTTCCAAACAGTTGTGTGTGTGTGCTTTTGAAGTCTGGGCTGCATGGTCATTTTAGGAACGCTGGGGCTTTCCTAGGCTTTGGGGAGTCTTATTTGGGTCTGAAGCGGGAAAAGGAGAGGAGATCAGATACAGTAATGCTTTAATCTCAAGGGAGGGAGCAAAGCCCTTCTCCTAGCTCCTGGTTGGGAACTTCATCCACGATGCTCCTTGCTTCTAGCCAGGGATAGACGGGAGAGCCAGCGTGGAGTAGGAAGTCCAAGAGATTATCTAATCTTGTAGATTCAAGACTCAAGAGTTCTGAGTAAGATTTTTCAGAGGGGCATGGAGGTGCAGGCTGTAATCTCAGCACTCAGGAGGCTGAGAAAGGAGAGTCTTGAGTTTGAGGTCAGCTTGGGCTACGAAGCTTATTGAGGGCCTTCTGTAGGAAGTATGTTGGGATGTACAAAGAATAGCCCTTGAACCTTGAAGGTAATATATAGTCTTTATATATATATATATATATTTATATATTATTTATGCAAATATATAAATATATATTTATTTATTTAGTCTTTATATATAAATATATATTTAGTTTTTTTATATACATATATTTAGTCTTTATAAATGTATATATATAAAGATTCAATAAAAAGAAAAGGCCTGGATCTTGGACTAAATGAAGGAGAGAAGTAAGACCAGGATTGGGTGGAGTTCTGAGAGAGTCCACCAGAGGGCGTGGTGGACCGACCTCTTAAAACTTCTAGCTAGGGGCAATCGGTATAGCCTCGTGGCTGAAGTCCATACCCTCCTATGCTAGAATGGATTTGGTTTAGCCAATGGTGTTCTCAAGAGATGTTATTTAGTGTCTGTCTTAAGAGATTTCACATAGGACCTCAGACTTAAGTCCTGTCTTGGAGGACCTGACTAACCACACAGTTTTCACTCCTTCCTGGCAGCCATGAACAGGAGGAATTAAGGAGGAGTGGACCTTGCAAGACGCTTGAGTTTTCTATAATTAATTAATTATTTAGAGAAAGAGAGGAGAGAAATGGGAAGGCAGAGCTTGGCTGTCTCTGACTGTTGCTCTAAACCTTATCTTTGACACAGGGTCTCTCATAGAACCCAGATCTCATCACTGGCTCGCCAGAGATCTGCCTTTCTCTGTATTCCCAGTGTTAGTGTCATAGACCTGTGGTCATGCCTGGCTTTTACACTGGTGTCAGAGACCTGAACTGCAGGTACTTTTAACTCACTGAACGAGCCCTCTAGCCACCATATCTCTGCTCTTGCCACATATCTGCCTGGCACCCCTCCAGCCAACTGTACTGCAGACTTCCCTGTCCCTAGGAGAACCAAGATGTGCTGACTAGTCTTAGGTCAACTTGACACAAGCTAGAGATGTTTGGTCACCTCAGCTGAGAAAATGCCCCCAACCGGATGGGCCTGTGGTGCATTTTTCTAATTAGCCATTGATGTAGGAGGGCTCAGCCTACGAAGGGTGAGACCACCCTTTGGAAGGTAGTCCTGAGGTGTATGAGAAAGCAGACTGAGCAAGCCAGTGAGCGGCATCCCTCCACATCCTCTGCATCAGTTTCTGCCTCCAGGTGCCTTCCTGGAGCTCCTGCCCTACTGGGCTGATGTGGAAGCACAAACTGAAACAAATCCCTTTCTCCCCAAGTGGGTTTTCGGTTATGAAATCAACAGAAACCCCAAGAAACCAGGCTTTGCTATAATGATGGAAGAGTACAATCCCCTGGGCAGCTTCCAGATCTCTTTCTGTCTGCAGAGACTTTTGAACAAAGCAGTCAGAGAAAGGGGTATGAGGAAAGGGATGAGGGGCCATTTAGAGGCAATATAAGCAGATATTAGATAACTGTTTCCAGCTGTCATGTCCATCTTTGACCATTATCAGCTGTCACATCCATTTTCCTCTTGCACTTGAGCCTCAGGAGGGACAAGGAGAAACTCCTGGAACCAAGAATTGATCCTGTGGCTGTTGCTTCTTGGGATAAGATTTGTGTGGGGTGCTGTGTGGAAGATCTGGGTGCACAGGGTCCCAAGAGGTCCTTAAGGCCATGTCTGTGGGCTGCAAGTAGTTAAGACACAGCGTTCAAAGGCATCAGGGAACAGAGAGCCCTGATCTCCTCTTGTCTGGTACTAAGGTCCCAATGGGACCATGAATGCAGAGGACGTGGACCAGCATTTGTGATTTGGCGGTGATGGACTTGGAACGCATTTTGTGTAAATTTACACGACTCAGGAATCAGGAATTTCTTGTAGGGTTCAGTTTTGGGTCTTCTTGGACTATTGGCTCATCTGACCACAGGGGGTCACATTCCCACAGGGCATCTACTGGCTGGGGGCAAGGGGAGCCATCTTCATTCACAGGAACTGGTGGCTCTTTTTATACACTGCAGTCTCATTTACAAGAGGAACTTGCAGAATTGTTTGTTGGTTTGCGGGAGCTCCCTGCAGGTGGGTTTGAATACAAGGCTCCTTCCAGAACAAACAAAAGTGGTGCTTCTTGGGCCAAGGCCAAGGTAGAGCTACTCCTCACTGGCATCTCCTCAGGACTCTGTACATGCAGCCAAGGCTACACTGCAGAAATGTGAAAACCAAGGCCCAGACAAAGGGAGGGCCTTGTCCTAGCTCACAGAGGTCACTTGTGCTTGAGCCAAAACTTGACCTCCATTTCTTGTTTTACCGTGTGTGACATTAGACATATCAAACTAGACCTTAATTCATTTACTGACTCCTGGAAACTAGAAGTACTATGAGCTGAGTTCTCTGAGGCTCTCTCCGGATTTGTTGGCAAAAGAGATTGCATCGATTAGCAATGTCTGCCTTGGATGAGGATGGAAGTGGGGTTCACAGCATACGTGAATCATGGGAGAGTGTTTCCTATGACTCTGAAAGGAAAACTTTCTCACCTTTAAAGTTGGGCCTGATCCTGGCGTCGTATCCAGAAGTCCTCCCCATGAGCTTATCCAGGAAGTCTGAAGGTGACATGGGCTTGGGTGCAGAGCGCGCAGCTTCGGCCTCCTTGGAAGCAGCAAGGCTAGGGAGAGAGAGAGAGAGAGAGAGAGAGAGAGAGAGAGAGAGAGAGAGAAAGATAAGAACAAGGTTGATTGATGGTGGATCTTCTCCATGCTCTGATCAGACCCCAGCCTTGCTCAGCCATACAAGACCCTTGGAGTGCTATGTGCTTGAGCTGGGTCTTTAATGAGGAAGGCACAGGCCGCACTCTTTAATCAGCCCAGTGGAAGCCAGCCTGGGGCCTGGCAGACAGCCAGTGTCTGACTGAGGCTGAGAAGTCTCCAACTCCTCACGGTGTCTGAGATCATGAGTCATCACAGTGGCTGCTGGGGCTCCTTGAGAGAGGAGGCTGAGGGGTCGGGCCTGGGTCTCCCTTGAGAAGAAGACTGGAGGATCAGTCTGGTTGACTCAGCTCTGCCTTGGGTGCCTGCCCTCTCACAGGTGTGCGGGACATTTAAGAGTCTCAGAGATAACATAGCCTTTTCCTTTCATGGTCTCAGGATCAGCTATTGTAAAAATAAGCAAAGAGGTAAATAAAAGTTGCTGAAGTCAAATGCATTTGGAAATACAAATCCCCCCACCCCCGACCTTTATCAGGCTTACACACTTAAGCACAGGGGTGCTTATACTACAAAATGAGCATTTTAGAGATCTACCATTAGACCCTGGAGGTGGTACACGCCAGTAACCTCAGCATTCCAGATGCCGAGGCAGGAGGATTGCCATGAGTTTGAAGCTATCCTGTGCCACACAGCAAACATCCTCTCTCACAAAAAACAAAACAAAACAAAACAAAACAAAACTCCCCAAACCTCCCAAAACTTGAAAAACCCAAAAAACAAAGAAAAAACGAGGTGAGTTTTTTTGAGAAGTCCGCCTCCACGCTTGTGGGTATGTCTTTCTTTCTGTGTAGTTCTTTTTCTCTTTACCCCATGCTTCACGTCTGTACCAAAATAGCTATGGTAAATCACATTGCTGCTTAAAAGCAATGGGGAGGGGGATGGGAAAAGTTGAGGCAGGGTAGAGGAAGGGTGTCACCCAGGTTCCAGAGTTAGTTGGTACCTTACCCTTTAGTACCAGTTGTTGGGAGTCTGGAAACCAAGTGTCTGGGGGATGTTCTGAGGTATTCCCATCGGGGCCCTCTTCCCTAACAAAGTAGGCTAGGAATGTCTGAGCAGAGTCCCAAAGGGGCCCCCATTTCACAGAGGCCCAGTTGGAAGCGCAGGGGCTGAGGAGTAATCACTTGGTTTACTTTGGGTCCCTACGAGGCCTGGGTTCTACAGCTGCGCTGAGCAGATGGGGGATTCCACGTGCTGCCCTGGCAGAGCCTTGTGGGTCTTCAAAGATGGATGAGACACAGAGGTAGGGTGGGGTGTGCGTGTGTGTATATATGTGAGTGTGTGTGTGCCCACACACATGTGTGATAGCTCTGTGTGTTTGTGTGTATGTATGACAGTCATGTATGTGTGTGTGAGTCCTGTGTGTGTGTGTGTGTGTGTGTGTGTGTGTGTGTGAGATAGCATTGTGTCTCCCAAGGATTCATTCCAAACTTGCCTTGTTTCTTGCTTGCATTTTTCTTGAGCCTTTGTTTGCAATGCACGCTGGACAGGCATTCCACCTCATGCCTTACCCTCCCCTGGGTCCTTCGGGGTGGCATCCCTGCTAACTGACTAGTCATGCCGCAAGAGATGACACCCAGCCTGGCACCTCATCAGGCACATCTCCTTCCCTTCATATCTTGCTGGGGCCCAAGTTTACCCCCCAAGCTCCAGGCTATCACATCCTTCCCAGGTCTACCAATATCTCTGCTTCCTGTTTCCTGTGTTCCCATCATCCTCTCTCACTCACCATGTCCTGTTAAGCCATGGGTCAGCTGTGATACATCTATTTGTGGGGTTGTGCTTTCTGTCTCAGCCTCCTGAGTGGCAGGACCCCAGGTGCACGTAGCTACACTGACTTTAAATTTTTTAAATTATTCTTGATTTCTATCTTTCTATGTTTACTTATTTATTTGTGTGTGTGTGCTCCTGTGTGCACATGCATGGTGAATCATTTTTTTTTTTCCTTTCTGACCACCATGTGGGTCCTGGCGATCAAACTCAGGCTATAAGTCTTAATGGCAAGTGCCTTTACCTAGTGAGCCATCTTGTCAAGCCCAGCATCTGTTTTTGGGGCTTGTTATAGCTGGTTATATCCAAGGGTAGGGGATCCTGCGATTTTCTTTTATTTATTCCTTGTTTGTTCTCCAATCCTCCAGGTGTCTACCCTGATGTCTCAAACTTAATTGGTGCTCAGCAGTTGTGTGGTGACTGAATGATGATGGAAACATCTGTTAATTAATCAAATATCCCAGCTAATAGGAAGTGTTCGTAAATATTGGTACATGGGTTAACAATTTAAAAATAATTACACTATTATACACAGTATGAAAACACAGACACAGTCTGGTGTTTCTTAGGCCATTTGCAAGGTATGCTGGGATTTTTCTGAGCATCCTTTCTCAGGCTCTGGGCATGCCCTATTCCAGGTCTCAAAGGGCTGTAGTGGATGGATGAGGGACAAGCAGGCCTTCATCATTGTTTGAGTGTGTGGCTGGGGGTGCAGCTGGAGCCCTGTGATGGGATGTGATCTGCATGTGCTGATGGTAGTGTCATATGGAGGGTGTATGACAGCTAAGTGCAGATAATGTCACTGAGCTTGGTGTGTGCAGACATGGGGCTACCTGGATCTGTGACAGATGAGGCCGTTTGTAGTGGGTTGCAGTGAGTGGAGGGGTGGGTTAATGTAGACAACGCTTGATGCATGTTACACACATTTGTTTTCCTATACATTGTGATGTATAATGTAGTAATGGCTCCCAGTGGTTCTGTCAATGTCATCCCAGTAGCAAGAGGCAAGAACTGAGGGAGAGCCATGAAGGAACACTGCTTACTGGCTTGCTTCCCATGGCTTGCTCAGTTTACTTTCTTATACACTCCAGGACCACCTGCCCAGGGGTGGCACTGTCCACTGTGGGATGGGCTCTCCGATATTAGTCATGAATATAAGAAAATGTCCCACAGGCTTGCCTACAGGCCAACTTGCGGTAGGCAATGCCTCAGTTGTGATTTTTCTCTTATTGGGTGATTCTGGGTTGTGTCAAGTTGACAACGAAACCCAACCAGGATAGGGACCACCTCAGCCAGGACAATGACAGCTACACGGAAAGGGGAAAGCTTAGTGTGCTGGTGCCCGTGGTGCTCGCCAGTGACCATGGCCTGAGCTTGTCATCACCAACAATGGAAGATGGGGTGTTGGAAGCATGGCAGATGCTTCAGACTTATGGATGACCTTTTTTGAGAGGATGAGAGCGGCTGAGAGAAAACTGATTCAATAACGATCCAAGTGGACCCCTCTACAATCTCAGGACTTGGGAGTCTGAAGCAGGGGCATTGTTATAAGTCTGAGTCCATCTTGGGGTACATAGTGATATCCTGAATGGAAGAAAAAGAGCGGAGATCCAATGTCCTCTACTGGCCTCCGTGGACACACATAACATGCACACACATACACATAAAAGAAATCTTAGAAATCTCTCTTCTCCCAAAACAAAACAAAAAGACACAAACAAACCAACAAATCTTAAATTTACCATTATTGTGTGTGCTCAACAACAACCCCAAATTGCCAAGGCTTCCTAATATTTCCTCAGAAACGAAGGCTCCGTCTTGATGCCAAAGTGGCCATTTCCCTGCACCTGATAATCTTCATTCATTTTTGCCTCTGTTTGTACAGTACAATTTGCACAGGATTATTTTAAGGCTTTCTCCCATCTTTAGTGGATCTGTGCTCTGGGCATCTGTGGACAGGAAACACACTGCTTTTGGTGTCACTGCCTCTGGGGACTTTAGGTACTTACTTAGAGTCTGTGACCTACTGGACCCAGAAGCTGAAATTGAGGCACCTTACCACATACAAGTATTAGAAAGTGAGGCAAATTATTTCATTTTTTTAGGTTATGCTTATACATGTATGTCTGTGTGTGGGTTTGTGCATGTGTGAGTGCAGGTACCCATGGAATCCAGAAGAGGGTGCCGGATACCCGAGAGCAGGGCTCATAGGCATTTGTCTAACATGGAAGCCCGGAACTAGGGTCCTCTTTGAGAGCAGCAAGTGCTCTTAACTGCTTGAACCATTGCTCTAGCCACCCAGATAAATTTGGTGAATACTGATTGACAGAAGGGGAAAGGTCCTCTGTCCCACAGATTCTAAGATGCATTTTTGAACAGGACATGGGGAATCTGTCATCTTCTCCTCAGGGGGTGTGTCCCATTGGACACACCTCAGTTATGGCTCCCAATGGTAGATACCATGTGCATCCGTTTGGTTCATTGTTGTCAGCTTGACACAAAGTAGAGTCAGCTGAGAAACAGACTCTCAGCTGAAGAATTTTCTCCCTTAGATTGGCCTGTAGGCATCTGTGGGGTGTTTTCTTGATTAATGATTGATGTGGGAGGGCTCAGCCTATTGTGGGTAGTGCCATCCATGGGCAGGTGGTCCTGGGTTGTGTAGGAATACAAGCTGAGAAAGCCAGGGGGAGCAAGACAGAAATTAGTGTTCCTCTATAGCCTCAGCTCTGATTCTTGCCTTCAGGGTTCTGCCCTAAGGTCCTCCCTTGGCTTCCCTTCCTGACGGGCTGCAATCTGTAAGCCAAATAAGCAGTTTCTTTCTTCAAATTAATTTTGCATTTACAGCAGCAACAGAAAGAAAACTAGGACACCATGGACAGGCTTGGGCACAGTGTTCAACGGCAAGGCGGGATAATGGAAGGATGTGGGAATGTGGGGCCTTGGGCGAGTTACTCCTGCTCCTGGTTTTCAAGTCCCTGTGGTCTGAAATGGAGTGGCTTGGCATAACTAGAGAGGGGTCTGAAGCCTGGAAGCATCACCTTACAAGTGTACAGTGTCATGCAGCCGGTCCCGGGGCAGAAGCTGGTCCCTCTCCTTTGGGAGTTGTACAAGCAACTGTTCTGGTTCTTTCCCA